AGGATGGCTTTGAACTCACTCTGTATAGCTCAAATTGATGTCAAATTCTTACTCTTACCCTGAGGACCTATAAGATAGGTCTAATCCTCTAGGCAGGATTACAGGCCTGTACCACCAGGGGGATATTGTATATATGGCATATTTAGCATTAAAACATATAACAAGTTAACATTATATAGACTGAATATATTGTTGTTTATATATTTAGGAACACACACGTATACATGTATATATGTAACAACAATTAATATTAAAGGTCATAAATTTGAAAAAAGGACAAGAAGGGCTTTGTAGGGGAGGAAAAGGAAAAGGGAAATGATGTAATTATAATTTCAAAAATAATTTAAAAGTAATCAGTGAAGAGTTGGTTGTGGTTATTCATACCTATAGTAGTTGCTATGGTAGAAGGATCAATTGAGTGACTGGGTGGGAAATACTGCTTCAAAACCAAGACCAAGAAAACAAACAAAGCAAAAGGAAAACAAACAAAAAGTATTACAGGAAACAAAACTAAATAAGCTACTAAACTAATACAAAAGAAAGACTAATCAATAAACAATAACTAATTAAATATTGAAGAAGAAAATATAAAATTTAAAAGTAAATCTCACAATGTAATATTCTTCTGCTAAGTCTTTAATCTGGACATGACACATAAGGTAATATACAAAAAAGTATGACAAGCTATAGGAAAATATGCATCATATATAATATAAGCACATCTCTTGAAGAAAACTATATAGGTATTATTATGGAATGATCTTTTTGTACACTGTGAACATGGGTTGTTCTCATTGGTTTAATAAAGAGTTCAGTGGTCAATGGCTACACAGAAAGAGGTTAGGTGGGACTCACAGAAAGGAACAGAGCACTGTGATGAGTAAGCACCGAGGCAGGGGAGAAGTCAGGCAGAAAGTAGAACACATAAAATGGGATAAAGGTAATAAAACCAGGAGGCAGAAAGTAAATTAATAGGAACTGACTAAGTTATAGGAGCCAGTTAGAAACAAGCCTAAGCTATTGTCGAGGTTTAATAATGAATAAGAAGTCTCTGTGTGGTGATTTGGGAGCTGGCTGGTGGGAAGAAAAGTCCACCTGAAAGGTATGTTACATCTGTGCCAGAGACAAATCAAGAAAATATAAGAATCAGGGAAGCTGGTTAGTTTCAGTTTTCTTTATTGTGGTGTCTAAACTTCCTACAATAGGATATAGAAATAAATGTTTTCAGTGGTCCTAAAATTTAGAAGAAGAATCCACATTAATAAAAGAATAAATCTAAGTTATAAGTCTAGTTTCCTAGATCCTCTGAATTCATCATCTTCATGAATAAAACAACTCATTGCTAATACTTGAAGTTCTTCAAGTAGAGAGCACTGAAATAATTTTATAATCTCTGGAATAATCTGAGGGTAAATTCTAGGAGAAGGACAATTTTATTAATGTTCTATTTAATATAGCATGTTACATATTTTAACATAAACATTAAATTTATGTTATTTGAAATCATTCCACTAACAATGACATTTCTCTTTTCTGTTAGAGTAAAAATAAGTAAGAAAGAATGAAGTACTCTCTTTAACAAATGTAGTAGGGCTGGGTAGCTCAGTGCTAGAATATTCATCTCAGCACGAATGAGGTCTTGGGTTCAACCTCCAGTACAATACCACATCTCACAAGAATTGTATGTAAATCATAATCTAATATCACCTCAAAAAGTCTCTTTTTACAAAGTGTTTCTTTGAAGCAGGTGTCATACATTAAATGTAAAAACAATTTAGCTATCTTTATATTATGATCATATTGTCTGCATAAACTTATATAGTTTGATATTGAAGTAAAAAAATGCTTTCAGTATGGTGTCTGAAAACACAGGCAATTAGAAAAAGCTCATAGAATAGATATAAGAATTTGATTTAGAAACATTTATGATGGCCTCCACCAACACAGATCAATCACTCTTTTGAAAGCATCTAATCTTCAGGTGGAAATACTCCAATGTGCTAGACCCTGTTGTAATCAGCCATCACTCAAACACTTAAAAATCTCACTTAACATGCTTTTATATGTAAAGCCTTTTATTTGTGTTTACTATTTCTATTCATTCCTTTTGTGAATCTATTAAACATTCACAATGCAGTTAGCAGTATTCTCGAAAATCAACACACAACAGAACACAAGACAACTGTATTTATGTTAACTTGGGCATACTCCATAACTAGCAAACACTGCAGCATGTAAGAAATAGTTCAGTTAAACATAAAAATAGAAGGTGTGGCATATTTCATCTCCAATCCCATGCCAGGCACTATTAATTCATTATGGGAGTTACCCTACTCTTGTTGTATTCTAGAAAGTTTTTTACACTACAGCAGTCAATTGCAATAAAAAAAGAAAGAGATAAAGTAAACATTTTAATCTCTGAGTAGAATACAGAATGGAGAGAGCAAACTGTAACTCTTACTTCAACAAACGGGAAATGAACAAATCCACTAGTCAGGTTTGTGTAGACATCAGTATCATTTTTTACCTATTTACCAAGGTCAGAAACTTGTCCTGTGTATTTTCTTCATCCCTGAGTGAAGAACAGTATCATTGATTCTCATTGTGGCAATAACTGGAAGCCTATGTCTTCATCTATGAGTCAATATCAGCACTTTCCTACATGCACTCCCCAGAGACTTTAAGTGAACAACTACAGACTCTACTCACCAGGACAAGTTATTGTAATTAAAATATTTTCCTTTTATATCATGCGATATTTCTAGGCTTACTACAATAAAGTACCCAAAAATACGTGATTTAAATAAGAGGAACTTACTATTGCAGAACAATGAAGATAGATGTACAAAGTCAATGCCACCAGCACCCACCGTGGGTCCTTCTGAAGACTGTAGAGCTATTCTTTCATCTTTGTACTGTTATGTTGGCAAGCATGAGCCATTGATTGCTTAATACCATTTGTTATCGTATGAACTCTTGTGTCTGTATCTTTTGCCATTTTCTTTTAAAGAGTACAGTAATACTAGACTAAGAGACCACTATATTTGAAGGTAACATCATAGCATCTAATTATTTGTGCCACAACCCCAATTGCAAATAAATTCACATTCTGGGGTGCTTAGAATTAGAAATTCAACTCATTTTATCCTTATTAATATAAAATAACATAATCAAGGAAAAACCTAATTAGAAAAGCCATCCATGTGCAACTATCAATGTGCAATATACAACAGAGACAAATCTGTTAAGTTAATAAAAAATATAAAAGGAAAGCCCTAACAAGGAAACTTATTTGTAAACGAAGAATAGGATTGTAATTCAGGATACACCTAAATGGATTAACAACTTTATCTTCATCCATCAAAACATATGCCAAATTTCTAGTCTATAGAATTACGTAGTAATAGGCTTCTATCACTATAGTAATAGTAACAAACAATGAAAATAACCTGTGTATAGCATGCTACATCCCTTTTGAGGATAAGTGTTTTCTACTCTGAGATAATGTACTCTATTGATGCATAGTAAGCAAAAGAAAACTGCAGGAGGAAAGGTATATACTGGCTACATCGACCGAAAGGGATCATATTGGTTACTTTTCTATTGTTGTGATAACACTACAACCAATGCAGTTTATAAAAGTGTTTATGTTAGCTTACTGATTCACGGAATAGAATCCAAGACTGCTCAGTGAGGTATAGTGGCAGGAAGTACTGAGTGAGAGCTTACATCTTTTTACCACAGCAACTTAAGAGAAGGGAAAATTCCAGAAGGCTAGATATTCATGTTGGTAGGGGAGACACGGTAGCAGGTCACCAGTGCAGTAGGCTAAAGCACCATATCTCAGCTGTAACCAGAAGTACTGCAAGTGTGGTGAAGTCACAAACTTTGGAAGCCTGCTCCTCAGTGATGGACTGAAACTTCCCTAACTTCCCCCAATAACCCACCAACCAGGTACCAAATGTCTAAATATATGAGCCCATTGGAGACATTTCTCTTGCAAATGACAACAGCGTAGTGGGCAGCAGGAATTGCAATCACCAGGCCTGGGCAGTCTAGGGGACCCCGGGTAATGTCCCAGCATTTGTACCTAGTATATGAATGAACATTGGGAGCCCGTTTCCCATAGAGGGATGCTCTCTCAGCCTATACACACAGGGGAGGGCCTAGCCCCTGCCCCAAATGATGTGACAGACTTTGATAATCCCCCATAGAAGGCCTCACCCTTTCTATGGAGCAGAAGAGGGATGGGATATGGGGGGGGGGTCAGTGGGGGGCATGAGAGAATGGGAAGGAGAGTGAACTGGGTTTGACATATAAAATAAGATTGTTTCTAATTTAAAGTTTAAAAAGGGAAAGCAAAATGTGTCCTCGCAGTCTCGGGTAAACCTCATTTCTGAATTAATGTACTGCCAACAACAGTAAATGCTTTTAAGAGTTGCAAGGCTGTGCAAAAAGCAGATGCACCCAACAGGTCTCCTCTGCACCCCCGCACAGCCCCTTCTAGGAATGCCAAGGGGGCTTTGGAGGGCTTGCGAGAACTCTATCTGGAATCTTGACTTCGAGCAAAGGAATAAACCGCAAACGGAGGCGGAACGAGAAAACAGACGTTTGAATCCCGCGCCAGGCTGGCAACGCAACCCACCTCAGATTCCTGACGCTTCTCCTCCTCTCCACGCCTTCCGAGCTCTGGCCAAGCCCAGAACTGCAACTCCCACGACGCAACGCGGCGAGGCGGGGCGGGGCTACCGGGACTGCTTTGAGGTTTCATGAATTGCACAAACTCCGACCTTTCCGGGAGGCTGCTCCCTCGGCGAAGCCTGGTTGCTGGGCCTTCGTGAGTCGGGAGACAGACCATTTCCTCACTGGCGTGCGAGGACTCCCACCCCGCGGCCTCATGGTAAATGGAGTCCCTGATGGGGGGAGAGACGTAGTCACATCCGAATACCTCGGAACTCAGGACTACATTTCCCAGGAGGCCGCGGGACGTCCGACGGCTAGGGGGCGGTGCCTCCCGTCGGTACAGTCATCTTTCGGCTTGTTCGGCGGGACTGATGGCTGGAGAGATGACGATATTAGGTCAGTATCCCAGGGTCCCTGCTGCTGTGGCAGTCGACGGGTTGGTTAGAGGAGGCCTGAGTGGGCAGGGGTTGGTTGTCTCCCTGCTGAGCCCAGGTCACGCAGCCGCAGGGAACCTGCAGGGGTGGCTGAGGCTGTTTGGAGCAGGTGGGGGCGGGGCGCCTGGGCCCGGGGTCCGGCTGGTGGTGGGGGAGGAGGCCTCCTGGGGGTCCATCCCGCAGCCACACGCCCCGGGGCTCGCGGGGCTGCAAATGCCCCCCTTGCCAAAGACCTGGGTCTTGAGTTAGCAGCTGCATTCGGACAGAAAGAGAGGTGGGCATCTCGAGATGCAGGCTCCTGGGCTGCACTCGGGATGCCGAATTGGCAGGGGATTCTGCTCCTTGTTCTGTGTTAGCTGGATTCTCAGCGTTTGGGAATTACATCCCTTGCAGTTGACGAAATGCGTCTAGGGTTCGTCTGTCAGTCGGAAGAGACAAGTGGGTAGGCTGATCTACTGTGAGCCAGGCGTTGATTTGAAAGAGCAGTTGCCCACAGCACTACGGACTGACATTCTGGTTTCTTAGCATGAGACTGAGTGGGAACAGGTGTATAATACCGACATTAATTCTAAATTCAGAGCGATGTCTGAATTATTCGCTTTGTGGGTACAATATGCGTGACTTTTGCATTTGATCTTTTTTCTTTAATTGATATTTAATTGAGCCTTCTTGCTGTGGAATACAGTGGTGGACAAACTTGTCTTCAGGAAACCAACATGTTGTTGCCTTCAGGGTTAGCGCTTATATACTTCTGTAAATGCTATCTCTTTGAGAAGTATGACCTTAATTCATACTCAAATATGCGAAAGCACTCATTGGGCTCTGTTATGAGGTAACAGTAGGAGCAATTTAAAATTTTTTAAGAATCAGTGCATCCAACTTACTTATTTCATTCTTTTGAATGGGTAGGGATGATGTAAATGTAAACAAAGATGTTAATCTTACAATACCAAAGCTTTTGCTGTGAGAACTTCATAAGGAAATTCATTTTAGTAATGTACATAAAACTTTATGAAGCTATCAATCTAAATATCAATAGGTCAAGAAAAGTGGATTCTAGCCAGCTTTTGCTTTACATGTGTGATGTTTCCATTTGGCAGCAGCATAATTGTTACTGAAATATCCTTATATTTTATTCCTTTATTTTACTATAACATTACACAAAAATACAATTGTGAGGGCATTTGACTGATTTTCTTTTTAATTGTTGCCCATTAGAATATGAAAGACTCAAAGAATTAGCTATTAATCCTGTAAAGTAAAATGTTGGTTTCAAGAGTGTATTAAACACCTGTTGCTGTAGGAAGAGTGTATAGTAGTAGCTTGATAACTTTATGTCTTTTACTTAATCTGTTTTCAGGTTCAGCTGTTTTGACTCTCCTGCTGGCTGGCTACTTGGCACAACAGTATTTACCATTGCCTACTCCAAAAGTGATTGGCATTGACCTGGGTACCACCTATTGCTCCGTTGGTGTGTTTTTTCCTGGAACAGGAAAAGTAAAGGTGATTCCAGATGAAAATGGGCATGTCAGCATCCCCAGCATGGTGTCCTTTGCTGATGGCGATGTATATGTGGGATACGAAAGCCAAGAGATGGCAGATTCAAATCCTCAAAACACAATATATGACGCTAAAAGGTTCATAGGGAAGATTTTCACCCCGGAAGAGTTGGAGGCTGAAATTGGCAGATATCCATTCAAGGTAGGAGATGAATTTAAAGTGTATGTTAGTTTATTATACTATTTCAATTAATGCTTTGTCTCCGCATGTACATCATTGTATCTCAGCTGGATTTACCTATAAGGAAGTTATAGTCTCCCACCAAGAAATTCTCGGAAGCTGCAGGGTGAATCAATTCAGTGATTTCCTGGTCAATGAACTGGGCCTTGCTGTGTAGCTATTCCGCCATCTCACAATATCTGATTAGTTCTTTCAAGATATTTTAGGAAGGACAATGAAACTTTATATGCTATGAGTAAATGTTTTCTATGATTGTATATATTTGTTTTATGTAACATTTGTGCACTAGGTTTTTGTGTTTTCTGATGTATTTATAATGCAACAGTATGTCACAGACATTAGATAGTGCACCTCTCTTTAATGACTGGGGAGCTATTTTCTTATGAAATTGATCTATCTCATCAGATCTCTTGTATTATCTTACTTTTCTGGTATGACACTAATATCTGAAGTTATTTAAATATTCAAGTATTCATAAAGATTATATATGGATATATACATACATACATATCTTTGTGTATATTGTGATAAAATTGATGAGTTGACTCTGTGTTTTTGTGTGTGTGTGTTTAAGGAATTTTATTCATGTTCTATCATTGTACACCAGAAGGGTTACATGCTCTTAACCATTATTTTTTATTGAGTGTCTGTATCTTCAATAGGTGGTGTGATTCTATTTACTGATTGAGGTAGGTCTTGCTACAGAGCCCCAGGCTGTTGCTGAATCTGCCAGCCTCAGCTTCTTGCGATCGATCACAGGCCTGTGCCACTATGCCAGTTTATTTTGTTTGCCGATGCACAAATGAAAAAAAAAAATTGCATTTTGTGTTAAATGTCATTCCTTTGCTTTCCAGCAACATTATATTTACTGGTGTTTTGTTTGTTTGTTTGTTGTGTGTTGTTGGGTTTTGTTTTTGAAGCAGGATCTCGAATTTGTACACTTGTCTGGCCTAAAACTCACAGAGATCTGCCTGCCTCTGCCTCCTGTGTTTTTATTTTACTTAATGATGCATTGCATCTTTTTTGTCCTATTTTGACATGTTTCACTTTTCCTTACTGACAATAAAATACCGTCTTAGTGTGCTTTTGTTGTTGTTTTCGCTTTATCATCTTTACGATGTGTAATTTCTTGTTGTCAAAGTGTTAGGCGTTCATGAAATGTCAGTCTCGGAGGAGTGGCTTTGAGTTACAGTAACAGTGGGAACCGTCATCTTTGCCATTGGTTCACTAGCTTGATCTTTCGAGTTCTGCTTTTTATTTTGGTTTGCTTTGGTTTTCCATCTTAATGCTTTTATGTATTTATTTTTCAGTGGTTTCTCTTACAACATTTAATTTTGGTTTTGTTGATCCCGTGTGGGACTTTTGCCCAAGTTATGAAGTGGTATTCTAAAGAATTAGACCCCCTAGACAGTTGTTATCATCACAGCTTACTGAATAAGTTCTTGTCTCCTTTGTGATTTCCTATAGTTTTCTTTCCTGTGGTTTTTATTCTCTGACTAGCTAAGAATATGAAGTGCAATATCCCAGAAATAAGCAATCTGTAAATGTTTGAGAGGAGCATGATGTAATCTTTCTCCACCCTTCTCATTCTTACCCAGGTTGAGTGTCATTAGCCGTTCACTGCATATTTGTCTGGCTTTATTCACTGGTGGCCATCCTGGTTATTTGGGATTGCAGGCATTGCAATGCTAAGTAATGGGCCCAAAGTATAATATTAGTGATAACGGCTGTTTGAATATGTTGACAACAGAGAGGCTCTTAAGTGCTTTGTGTAAGTGAAAAGGTATCCACTGAGGGTCTTGAGACATACAGCTCCCAATAAAGGGACTCATGTCCTCATTCATCCTTCCAATAAATATGTAGTGAGAGTATCCTACGGTTCCTATTAAACTCTGACTTACATTTTGTTATTACTGAAACCCATAACAGGGATTAATTTTATAAATTTTAAAGTATCACATTCAGTAAACTCTAATCTGGAAAAGCATACTGGATGGATTAGAGTGGATTGTATTACTTTATAGAAGTTTTTGTTGAATAAATCCAGCATGTACATATGAAAGCAAATGCATGTATGTATATGCATGCATGTCATTACAATGTTGTTTTTCAAATCTCATTCACAGGTTTTACACAAAAACGGAATGGCTGAGTTTTCTGTAACAAGTAATGAAACCATCATCATTTCTCCGGAATATGTTGGCTCTCGATTATTGCTCAAACTGAAGGAAATGGCAGAGGAATACCTCGGAATGCCAGTTGCCAATGCTGTCATTTCTGTACCGGCAGAGTTTGACCTAAAACAGAGAAATTCAACAATTCAAGCTGCCCACCTTGCCGGTAATAACACCCATGACTGTGCATTTTTCTCAGGATTTTGTTAGGACAAAACCTCTGCAGCAACAATTGCCATTTTGTAAATCAACTGTAGGCACATATACTGTGACAGATGGACTAGCTGTTTATTTAAATTTACAAATAATCATGAACTCTTTAGTATAATAGTGTGTATTGGAGGGGAAAGCAGTCTAGGGATGGGGATGTAGCTTTCTGGTAGATTACTTCTCTACAGCAGATAAGACAGGGCCTGAGTTCAGTCCTCAAAAATGTAAAAAAGGAAAAAAGAAATTAAGCTAATAGGCATATGAAAAAGACTGAAAGAGAACATGAATACTTGTGTACTTCTGGTGACAGATACAAGGTGAATGTGTTTCCAGACTTTCCAGAATGAAAAGAATGTAACACTGTCCTTTAGGTCCTGTATTGTGGTGCTTGTTTTCAGCTACGTAGAAGCATAGATAGGCATGAAATGTAACATTTTACTATGAGAACTTATCCTTACCTGCTCACGAATGGTCACTGTATCTGGTGACCCCTCTGTAGGCAATCAGCAGTGTCCTTGTTCATTCCATTCACTTCATGGGGATAAATCCCACTTGTTCAGAGCTACTGATGTAAACTTTAATAGCAACTAACATGAATGGAAGAATAAAGGGCCAGAGGGTGGTCAGAGCATAGGCATGCCGTGTGAATGATCAGGTATGCCTCAAGGGACGAGTGATACTTGAATCTCTGACTATAGGGTCCTGTACATGACCAGAGCAGAATGATCTATAACTAAAGGGAAGGGCAATCTGACCTTTGGTGGAAGTCTTCAGAGTTGCAAGAGTCGATGTGGCTCCTGAAGTGTAATGCCATATTTTACAGAGACCACGTTATGTGTGGAGTTAGGTCAAAGCAGAAATCTTAATCAAGGGAATGTGCTCTTTGTCACAAGATCAGCTTATCACACTTGCACAACTCTATAGTTCCAGGTACACCATCAATATTAGAAAAGTCTGGAAGAGATTTTTCTCAATTGTTAATAAAGTGTCAAGTTACTAAGCTTAAGCCTTTTCCTTTCTTTCTTCTTCTTTTTTTTTTTTTAATGTTGTACTGTTTCAGAATAATTTTAATTACTCCGCTGAGATCTCCTGTTCTCATACCACTGTATTTTTCCTACGGCTTTTATCACTGTGTGGTGAAGCTCATGTTAAAGAAAAAACAAACATATTGGTGTCATAAGTTGAGTAGAAAGGTTTCCTCTGCTGGGTCTTTCAGGATTGAAGATCTTGAGAGTGATAAACGAACCAACAGCAGCAGCTATGGCCTATGGTCTTCACAAGGTTGACGTCTTCTATGTGCTGGTCATAGACTTGGGTGGAGGAACTCTTGATGTATCATTACTGAATAAACAAGGAGGAATGTTCCTAACACGAGCAATGTCTGGTAAGAAAGACACAGAATTACAGAGGTTCAAGCATGTTTCCCTTAAGGTGTCTAGCATGTAGCATGTTGTTTTGGTTTTCAGAATATTTTGTCATTTTCTGTATAGTATTGCTCCTGTCAGTCTGTGTATAGATCACAGTTAACTGTCCAATAAAATGGCTAGACTTCCAATAAGTCAGACAAGGAAGTTCCTTCGGGGCTTTCTTGTGATGGTGAAAGGAACATAAGGAAGAAGACTTTAAGAGTTTCAGATGATTTTATGTTTCATAAAGTAAATGTCTTAACAAATGCAATTTTAATGTCACTGAAGAATAAGATCTTTCACTTTAAATGTCTTTTCAGGATTTTTGCTTTGTGCTTTTTAGGTTAAGAATTATAAGGGTGTTTAGATTGAATTGTATAATTGTTCTGACATACATGTTTTTCACTCTTTTAACCAGATTCATTAGAGCCAAGGTACATACTTTGAGTTTATATTACATTTTTTCTTAATATTTCTATTATAATCGTTAACAGTTAGATCAAATGTATGTTTATTGGTACCTGTTAATCACAAAATTCATTTTCTTCTGTTGAGAATAATGACAGTTGGTGTTTCAAATAGCTGCATAACAAAGCAGTCGATGACATTATTCTCCTGTGTGGTCAAAAATTATTTGATGTCATTTGCAATACTTCCTTTTACATCGTTTAGAATTTCTAACCTTTGCTGGCACTGTTTATCAATCGTACATGATGAAACAGATACGGTAAGAGTTGAGATAAAACTGTTTCTAGAATAAGTCGAAGTAGATAACCATTTCCCCTTGCCATTTAGTTGATACTTATCTTAATAAAATTTTAATGCATTTACAAGATTTGTTATTCTTAAAATATGTTAACATTCATAACATATATATATATGCATATATGTATAACAAAGTTTTTAATTGTTGTTTTAGGAAACAACAAACTTGGAGGACAAGATTTCAATCAGAGACTGCTTCAGTATTTATATAAACAGATCTATCAAACCTATGGCTTTCTCCCTTCCAGGAAAGAGGAAATCCATAGATTAAGACAAGCTGTGGAAATGGTCAAATTAAATTTGACGCTTCATCAGTCTGCCCAGGTGTCAGTTTTACTCACTGTTGAGGAAAAGGACAGCCAGACACCTCAGAAAGATGACTCTAACCTGCCAAAAGACCAGCTCAGCCCAGGGGATGGTCACCATGTGAACAGGGTGTTTAGACCTGGCCCTTCTGACAGCAAGAGTGGGGAACGGCAGGTATTGTTTGAGACAGAAGTATCACGCAAGCTCTTTGATTCCCTCAATGAAGATCTCTTTCAGAAAATACTCGTGCCCATCCAGCAAGTATTAAAAGAAGGCCACCTAGACAAGACAGAAATTGATGAGGTGGTTCTAGTTGGGGGCTCTACTCGGATTCCTCGGATACGCCAGGTCATCCAAGAGTTCTTCGGAAAGGATCCCAACACGTCTGTAGACCCTGACCTGGCAGTGGTGACAGGAGTGGCCATCCAAGCAGGGATTGATGGAGGCTCCTGGCCTCTCCAAGTCAGTGCTTTAGAAATTCCCAATAAGCATTTACAGAAAACCAATTTCAACTGACCTCTGATGAGTACTCTAACTGACCTTGTCTAGTGATTTTGATGCTCTCCATTGTGAAGCCTCCTTCAGAAAAGAAGTACATGAAATAGCTCGCTGATGAGCCTGAGGACATTTGGACAGGAAACTTTTACGTAATGTTTCATTTTAGAATTGAATGAATTGAATAGAACAGGACCAGATGGGTCCTGTTTGTGTTTGGAGAACTCTCATCGTTTGACTGAAGTCATGGAGTTGAGGTTCGACGCTTCTCGTGATTCTGGAAAGTAGGTTACCATTCGCACTTACTATTCTGGAAACAGTAAATAGTGCCAACAGTAAGCGCCCCTCCCCCCACTTTTTACTGCATTTTATTAGTAGAGTCCGATAATTCTTTACTTGGTTATCACATGTAACTCTTAATTTGGTCTATACTTGAAGGGCTGTTGATGTCAGGTATTTACATTGGCGGGGAGATAGCAGTATTACTAAACTGCATAGATAGTATTCATCAACTGCCATATAAATTGTACCTTCAAAAAAAATTCACTTTTTATGTGCTATATTCTTCTAATCTACAGACATTAATTCGTTTAATAGACCAATTTTTCATCCTAGAATAGCTACAGATGTATTCAGATTTTTCCTGCTAGATAGTAGAAATTTCCAGTTCATATTTTAGTTCTTTGTCTTCAGTGTCATTCTCAGCTTGTATTTTCCCGATTCTGCTTGGTAAGAAAACAGTTGGCAGTTGCCTTTTCAAAACGGTATTGTCACAGTAAAGCTACATTTCTTGCTCAATTTTTGCTATCCAGGACCTTTGCACAGATCAAACATTGTAGCATTTATTTGTATTTTGTTATGTTTTTTTCCTTTCGTTCCCCAGCGACAAACCTAGAAGTGCAAGAATATAATACAGATACTCTGGAAACTGAGGCAGTGTGCTCACACCAAGTTCAAGGCCTGGCTACCCAGGAAGTTCTAAGCCAGTCTTGGCAACTGACTGAAACCCTGTCCCTGTCTCAAATAAAAAGTAAAAGAGGGAGAGAAGAAAGGTAGGGAGTGAGGGGAGGAGAGGAAACGGAAACAAGGCAGATGGCCAAGGGGACCGGTGAAGAATATACTGTAATTTGACTTTACATTGGCCATGTTATTGAAAGATACATATCAATACATAAGAATTATATCTTGACTATCTTATTATTGTAAAGTGCATCCTATTTGTCAGTGTGTAATAACTAAAGAAGAGAACTAAGAAAATTTCAACAAGACCAAGCTGTAATGCTGAAAGGTGTTTTTGTTTTGTTTGTTTGTTTGTTTGGTTGGTTGGTTGGCTTTTGCAGCTTTATAAAGAGAAATGTTGTTCAGGAGTGAAGTTGCTGTTAAATATCATTTTTTTTTGGCATCAAAAGTGTGTATTAGCATCAAAAGTGGGTAAAACATAAAATGCTGTGCTTTTTTTTTTTTTTTTTTTTTTTTTTTTTAAGAATAGAGAAAATGCCAAAGACAAGCCCTTAACAGCATTCTGAAAATATTCAAGGCTATGAGTCTTGATTTTAGATTGAAAGTATCTATGAACATGTTTGAAACTCGAGTGTTGAAGTTAGCCTACAGGCTCCACATGCTCTTCCACTTTTTACATAAGGCAGTTAGGGGGTGATAAATAGCAAACTTGAATATCTCAGATACTGATGGCACTCAAGACATGAGCAGGAACAATTTCTAGAACGGAGCAAATAAATAATGCTAAAATGGGAAGGTAAACAATTTTTGTGAAAAAATAGAATAGTCGTGGTGGAGTTGGGATAAGTAGTTAACATTCTCTAGTTACAGAAATGAAGGGAATTCGCTTCAATCATATGTTATAGAGTTATGTATACCTAATTTTGACATTGGTTTAGTTTATTTAAAAGGTATAGATGCATCCTGACTGGGGCCATTTGTTGAAATCTGTGATCTTTTATTATAAAATGAGCCTTTTAATTGTACAGTTGGCTACTGGTTTATTTTATTTTATTTTGAAGTATGTGACTTTAAAAATACTAAGTAATAAGTAATTTATTTTGTTTCCATGTTTGGTACTGTGTTTTCACTCAAACCACTAAAAACAGATACCACTGTGTATAATATGAACTCAGTATGACAGTTACTGTATAGAACAGATTGTGCCTCTTAAATATGTGTGTACAGGTAATTCACATTTTGCTGTAAGCACATACCATTTTTTGCAGATTTGTTTTTAAATTGTTTATTTTCCACGCACATCTGGGGTGGAGTATATTTTTGATGTATATAAATACAGTAAACGCTGATGCAATGTGTACAGACTTTGTTGCAAGTGGTCTAATTCCACAAGTGTCACATCTTCCTGCATCCTACACATCTCCTGGGATTTCTCCAGTATTTTCCACATATTTCTATTTGAGAAGAGCTAGTTCTCCTATGAACTATTTCTTTAGAACTCTGATTAACAAGCCTTTGCTTCTAACTACTGGAATTAAATGCTGACTTGATGCACACAATTAATAAATCTGCATACTACCCGACTGTAATCTTTCAGTTAACAGTTAATACTTCATAATTTTCTAATAAAGTTTGTGTCAATCTTTTAGACAACAATGTGTTTCTTGTCTTAAGAAATTCACTTCATTGTGTCTTAAAACTGAGCCCCTGGGGCCTAAATGTATAGCTCGATGATTTAAAACCCTTATTTTTGTGGACGATCCTGTTTCAATTCCCAGCACTACATAGTGGCTCACAACCTTATATAACTTTTGTTTCAGAAAAACAGACACCCTTTTCTGACTTCCAGCCGTCTGTAAGGGAGGCAAGATACTAGGAAGAAAGCATAGTTTACTGCTTGCTTGGGCTGAAACCTGGCCCTTTCCTTGACTTGTTTATATAAGCTTTGGCTTTTGGATGGTTTCCTTTGTTGAATAAGCTTTGTTTTTCAAAACTTTGGAAGCTCAGCCTCTGTAAATAAGGTTGCCACAGCCTTTATTCCATTTAGCATCAAGCCTTTCTTCTAACTTCTGGTCTTGAGCACAGGACTTGGCTACACCATTGCATTCTCGGATGATCTTTGTCTCCTCAAACTACATTTTGTTTTTCTCTTTGTCTAGCTTCCTTTTCTCATTGTAGATCTGCAGAAGAGTGATCTCTAATGATCAAGTGGCACAGTCAGTACCAGGCTGTATTGAAATCTCTGCCAATGACTTTAATTCCGAACTCTTCAATGTAGCCCCTGGCAGAAAGCAGCCACATTCACAATCACTAATACTATTACCCTCTAGGACCACTTGAACTTATTCTCTATAGTCTACATTGTTCTTGGCACTACTGTCTTCCAAGTCCATACTACTGTGGCCCACTTAAGCTCCACTGTGGCATTCAATCACTTCCCTAGTCAAAAGCTCCAAAGTCTACATTTTGCCATCAAGTAGTTTGGACAGGCCTTTCACAGCAATATGCCATGCCCTGGTACCTATTTCTGTCTCCTTTACTGTTCTGTTGCTGTGAAAAGACCATGCCCAAGTCAGCATACCTAACCAAAAAAAAAAAAAAATCATTAATTAGGACTTGCTTACAGTTTCACAGTTTCAAAGCATGTGTCTATGGTCATTTTGGTGAGGAGCATGGTACTGAGAGCTTATATCTGATCCACAAGATGGAGGCAGAGAAAAAAGAAACCGGGCCTGGCCTGTGTCATGAAACCACAAAGCCTGCTCCCAGTGACACACCTCCAGCAAGGTCACACCTCCTAATCCTAGACAGTTCCACCAACTTGGAAACAAGCATTCAAATACAGAAGCCTATGGGGACCATTATTATTCAAACCACTGCACTGGGAAATGTTTTTAACGTTCATAGTTTTTTTTTTTTTTTTTTTTTTTTTTTTGTATGTATGTATTAGAGGCCATGGGTGACAAAAACATTGCAAAACCTTCCCCTTGTATAGCTTGCATGCTAATGGGGCAGGGGAGGGAGAGGGAGAGAATGAATCAGGAGCCATACAAATAAATATGACTGTTAACAATGGTAAAATTTGGAAGACCAGAAACAGGAAGATGTAGTGAAAGGAGACTATGCAGTAGTTTAGGTAAAAAAGGCTTCTTGGGGTAGAGGAATTTTCACTGGCTTTTAGTAGGTAAGCACTCTGTGAAAAGGGATCTAACTACCTGTGCCAGTAATTCAAGGCAGGAGCCTTCCTGGCAGGACAGCAGAGTACCAGTGAGATGCCTGAGCAATATGTAAAGCATTTCGTGGAAGAGAGAGATTGCCAGTGTCAAAGGACAAGTCAGGTAAAGTGGAGGCTGAGTGTGGACCATTTGCAAACTCCAGAAATTGTGAGCAATAGAGTGGCAACATCAGCCCAGTTAGAACTGAGTCCAACAATGACCGAAGGAAAAAAAACTACAGAGAAGTTTGCCAACTTTCCTTCAGAATCTCCTATATAGAAGTCAACAAGAAAATGAGGTTTTAAGGTTTCTGAATAAATTTCCTCTTTCACATCAATAGCTTCGGCATAGTATATATTCCTTACTATTAAAAACAGATAAATGCAAGCGTACACACATAAACACAAACCTCTCTGTATGTAATCTGATGAGTATTGAAAAGTACTACTGCCAAAGATTATACAACCAATAGACTGATCGCTCTGCATACTGGATACTGGAGAATATAAAGATAATCGGATTGTCATGAAATCTGTATCCATAGGAAAGGCAAGATCAGAGAGAATCTGCACGGAAATGCAAAATTAGGTGAAAGTGGGGCTTTATAGAGGATATTTTAGCATCTCAGCAGGCTGGGAAGAGCAAAGGGTAGGGATGCTTCAGAGTAAGAAAGGAAACAGGTGCTTAACAGAGTAAGGCTGAGAGCAGGCAGAAAGAAAGAAAACTGGGAGACTGAGGAGGTTGTAAGGGGATAGGCAGGCAGCAAAGATAACAGTCGGACAGGAAAGAGAAAACACTCCCAACTGCGAAGAAAATAACTTTCCCACACAACACCTGGAACCGGCTTAGAAAACAAGGTCATCCATCCATCAGACAGGTCCATCTATCAAAATCAAGGCCCTTCTTTGGACAATAACTTGTGGTTTTCTGAGTATTTTGTTTGAACAATCCCATCTGTCTGGAGTACTTTCAGTCCAGGTAGGGGAAAAGAAACACGGGAAAGATCAGAAGAAAAATGCTCCGAGTCCTATGAAAAGGCCAGCTCAAAGACCACGTAGCGGTCCACACAC